TGACGTACTTTAACCATATGTATTTAACCAACAATGATTATGTACGGCTCAATTTTAGGTAGCATGGCTATGAATCTTCAACCTCCTTCTCAGAAGAAGCGTATAATACACTGACAAATGAATATTTTAGAACTAAAGTTTAAATGAAGACCGAGATGCGATTTGAAACTTAATAGTTGATGGAGAAACATATTTGATGTTGCAGAGGCAAGAAAGGATGATGCTTTTGAAGCATTGCTGTCTTTCCATTATGGCATACTCCAGTGCACACTCAAAATAATACTTCACTCATTTTGTTTAGCGAAGTGCACCAGAAAGCAAATATTAAGCAGTAACAGAAATATGCTAGCAGTGTACTGATGTCTCTTATCCTTCATGTTTAACTGAACATCTGTGAAGATCTAGCTGAGATTTTACATAAAAGAAACTGTTTAATACGTTCTTCATGTTTTTTTTTATATTTGTCATGAAACCCCCTTATTAAAAAATTGTTCGGTATATTGAATATTCAACTTTGCATACAAATAGATATTTCCCTACTGTGACGCTGAAACTTGAGTTTTTGCAAAAATCTTTAAAAATGTACCTGTAAATTATACCCACCAACTAATAATACTTTCTACAAGTTTAAATATATTTGCATCAGATAAGAGTTATTTGTTATATCACCAGTAGTTATACTGGTTGCTAGGAGTCTACAGTGCCAACTGCTTGATTATAATGCAGTTAGAATTGCTGAAGTTAGAGCTACAGTGCCTATAACATTAATAATCAGCACAACAGGAAATTATCACTAGAAGTTCAATAACAATTGTCAGCTGAAATGACGTTGTGACCTTAATTTCTAAATTATCGAGCAGTGTTGTATGGCATGATCTATATGTAGTACGTTGGGAGGTAGTCTCTTGATTACAATATGTTATTGTTGTTGTTCTTGGCAGTTATTTTGATTTAAAAAATAATTATCTCCTAAGAAATAATTATTAATCAAGGGTGCTCCAAGATTAAACAATCTTCCTTCCGCCCGCGCGTGGTCTAGGAATATGGGCTTAACTTGAATAATGTCTAGAATCAAACTGGTGTATTTAAGTGTTTTACACTCACAAAAAGAAACCTATCATTCTACAGGTATTTGAAGAACTTGTAGCCTTTCGCCACAATTTAGTTCTTCGTATTGTTAGCTACACAAAGGGCTATCTGTGCTCTGCCCACCACGGGTATCGAAACCCGGATTCTAGCGTTGTAAGTCCGCAGACATACCGCTGTGCCACTGGGGGGGGCATAATTAAATAAATAGAATTGTTTAAACATTTGTTTAACAACAAGTTAAAGCTTGGAATGGTCTATTCTTTCATTGAGAGGGGAGGGGTGTCTGTGAGCCAGACTAGTTTCGGAGAATTCCAGCCATATTGTAATCAAGAGACTACCACCCAATGTACTATATATAGATCATGCCATGAAACACTGCTCGATAATTTAGAAATTAAGGTCACAATGTCATTTCAGCTGACAATTGTTATTGAACTCCGAAACTAGTCTGGCTCACTTACACACCCCCAAATGAAAGAATAGACCATTCCAAGCTTTTACTCGTTGTTAAACAAGTGTTTAAACAACTCTATTTATTCCACAATGTCTAGAATGTTTCAAGCTGGTTTAAACAGAGGTGACCACTGAGATATTTAATACATTTTGATGTCGAAAGAACTTTTTTCTGAGTTTCAGTTGAAATTTTGTTATGAACATTGACATGATGTTTATGTTAGAAACCAACTGAGATTGATTGTTTGTGTATGGAAGTGTAAAATTCAAGTAGCACTTACACACAAGTTTGAAACCCGTACATGACTTCTAAGTGTACAATGAGGGAGTTATGCTCTTAACCAGCACATAAAGTTAATCAAGCTGAGATAAATCATAGTGATAAAATCATCGTTTCCCCTGGATTTATTTTTCTCTGATGCCAGGTGTAGTGGATATATGAATCCATAGACGGCGACAGAACACAGCGATAGTTTGGCTCTTAGAGTTGTAGCAGTCTCGAACACTAAATGTACTTTACTGTTAAATGTTACATTTCGTCGGGGTTTGTATGTTTGTATTGATGTATGCTTTAGTGTACAGCATGAATGTTAATCCAAGTTGGACGAGTGTTTGCTGAAAAGCAAAAGTCTTTGTCTGGCTGAATTTTGTCTGTAATTATTTAATCTATGAGTAGAGATGTTGGTTTATAGACGGCAGTATGGTAATAAGTAGTGTAGCAGTCGAAACATAACTCGTGGATAATATAAGCATATACAGTGATATATAATGTTATTGTATATGTATATAGTATTATACATATATGGTTATATGTGTGTGTGGTGATGTACACACACACACACACATGGATATCACTTGTAAAATCGTTTTTAAGTGCTATATTATACACATGAATAAAATACTCAAAGAATAAAACTCTCAAAAATAAATAATTTAGTCTCAATGTAAACATGGCGATATATGAAGTGAAACTATGGTTACTGATTCTTGTTTCACCTTAGGAAGGCACAATGTATTAATGTTTTCATGAAGGTTGATGAGAGAATATTTTCAAGTTTGGAAACAGGGATATGAATGATATAAAGGATTTTTCACTGAAGAGACAAAAGCAACAGAAGAATTCGAAAAGAAACAAAAACGCATTTTTACTCAATGTTTCCAGTTATATTAATAAGAAATATTTCTAAAGGGACTGAATGCAAATATTCATAAGCAAATGAAAGTGAAAGTGAAACTCACAAATGGTTCATGTGTCATACCAAAAGAAACCTTGGTATACTTATTGTTTCATTTGGTTTTGATGAAATATGTTCAATCGAGTACATTGAAATATTTCATAAGTATACAGTTTTGCCTTTTTTCGTACAAGTTACAATTAGAACATCTGATAGTATGGTCTCTGTTGTAAGACCCGGATGCAACAAAACTAGATAGACGTGATATCCATACCTAGAAAATTACTGCTTCATAGAGTACTACATTTTTAGCAACATGTGTAGTAGTTTCCAATGGCTTCACAAATGAAGTTAAAACAGGCAGGAAAATAATAAATATGTCATGCATACAACACTAAAATACGCGAACAAATATTCAGATGTAATATTTTAACCTACACTTTGTAATCAAACATTATGCAGCGGTAAAATAGTTGGGACATAAATAAATAAGAAAAAGTGGGAATCCTCAATAGCCGCGATACTTGAAATTATTTTAAGCAAGATTAGAGCAAATTAATCTATGAGACCTTTTTCCCCTTTTTTTATTAGCTATATTTTTGTGCACCAGCAATACCAAGTGCGGGGCGCGCGTATACTCGATTCGATTTTATTACACATCAGGAAACTATTAGCCTTCCCTCAAATTGAAATTCTTTTGGGCAGGATTAGAGTAAAT